GCAAAATTAATTTCACAATTGTCAGAAAATTTTCAGGTTACAATTTTTCACTTAGAGTTAGACTTTCCTAACTCGGTACACAATAAAGCCAATGCTAGTGAGCGTTGATTCCTCGCGAAAAATGCGATGTAGACAAGTCATACACAATTTTCATAGTTTTTGATTTTTCTCACTCGCGTTCGCGATTATTAATTTGATAGGTTTGCGATTTTACCTGATCGTATTTGCGGAAGAGTCGTGAACAAACTTCGCAGAAATGTTGCGGAGTTGTTATCCGCAAAAGCGTTGCGGAATTGTTTTCGCAGAAGTATTGCGGACCTGTTATCCGCAAAAATATTGCGGAAACGTCTTCGCAAAAATATTGCGGAGCAGTTATCCGTAAAAATATCGTGGAATTGTCTTTGCAAAAGTATTGCGAAGTTGTTATTCGCAGAAACACTGCGGAATTTTCTTCGCAAAAGTATTGCGGAGCTGTTATCCGCAAGAATATTGCGGAGCTATATTGCAGTCTACTACGCTGCACTATCGAAACGTTACATCAGGGATATTCCGTGTTGTACGTAAGAATTTTGTACAAATTACTTCGCCCACGCATCGAAAGGTTTCGCGAGATCGGCCTTCGCGTGTTCCCTTCGCTCGCGGATTCCGTTTTCTACGTAAGCGATTCGCGTCGCGCGTATACCAAAGCGATACACTACAACGTAATCAGACCTTTGCTGAATTCGTTGCACATACTCACATACTCGTTTATCCGAAAGGCCGACATTTCCTTGAAAACGCATTTCGCGATATTTCATACGCAATTCGCAACTCGGAGTGTATCCTCCAAGAGAAACGGGATTTTTCGTGAAACCTCCGTTAGATTACCGCGGTCGGGAGTGAATTACAGGCGACGTGGGACGCGAGGACCATTGCAGTGTCAGATGTTAAGACAGGATGGCTGGTGGACCCTGGACATCGTGGGACGACGCGCAATGGTGAGCGCTCAATTTAGACGCTCATATAGTAGACACAAAGCGTCACTTTACGTAGATTGCATGCACGTAGATGTAAATCGCATTGGGTCCGACGGGAAGTAAAGTAAGAATTGAAATTTGCAATTCGCCGGAGTTACGTAAGAATGATCCAACCAAAGAATTTAGCTTTGAGAATTTTGCAATAGTTCGACGAGTCAAGGATTTCCATTTCTTTAAGAGTACTGACTAGCTCAATCTTTAGAAAAATATGCAAAAAACGTAGCTGATAAAAAATAGAAAACTGTTTATTAATTCATTTCAAGCACCCATAAGCATTGAATTTTTTGGTTTGGTTCAAAAAGATGTGAATGAAGTATCCATTGATAAAAGTTTAAAATTTTTTGAATTGGATCATTCTTGCATAACATAATGGCCAATTGAAATTTTAACTCGGCAGGCTTCCTTTTCGTCGGATTATTTTTTGATGATACATTAAACTGATATATTTCAATATGTCAACTGATATATTTCAATATGTTATATGTTATATATGCTTTTTTATGCTCTATATATACTATATATTTTATATATACCAAATGCTCTATATATGTTATTTGATTAATATACTTTATAACTTTTTATGTCGTATTATATACGACACACTATCTCTTCGGATATATTTGCTTATGCATACGCGTTTGTTATTAACAAGATGACAAATTAGATTTCGACAAATTAAGGACAACAAATTAAATTATTAAGCCGAGATTCGAATCGCAATGTTTCGATTTCCCGCTGAATTATTAAATCGAAATTCGGACCCGAGTATTTTGAGATCCCGCTAAACCATTATGCCGAGACTCGAACTGATGTGTTTTGAAGATCCGCTAAATTATTAAATCGAGATTCAACCGAAGTGTTTTATATTTCCGCAAAATTATTAAGTCGAGTTAGTTAAGCCTGGGATAATTTTTTAAAGTTTCTTAAACAAATTTTCGCGTTTGCAAAGGTGTGTTTTCGAAAATGATGTGAAATGTGCGTATTTCGGTCTGCATCGTCTCTTGGATGACAATGTGTGTAATGTCACTCTACTCCCTCAGTAATACGCCCAAAATCTTGAAAATAATTTTCCAGTAGCCCAAAGCCGTGTTCATAATAACGTTGGATCCAACTAACGGTCGTAGGAATGTCGGATTCGGCGCATTGACCGAAAGTCGGTCATGTTAGGTCATATAGTGTCAGCATCTGGAACACATTCTGAGATAATATCTTACAGTTTTTTTAAGTAATTTTCGTGTTCGCAAAGATGTATTTTCAAAAATGACATGGAGTTTGACTATTTCGCTCTGCATCGTTTCCCAAATCATGTGGGATGCTCCGCTTCATTTTCGCACGTATTTTCACCATGCAAAAGGGTTTTTCATTCGACGGAGATAGAAAGAAGTAGTTTTGCAGAAAGATTCAATATCGTGATAGTAACTGTTCCTTATCATTTTCGTCTCATATCGATAGATGCTTCGCTTCATTTTCGCACGTGCTTACACCATGTAAAAGGGTTTTTAATTATGTCGAATTAGCATGAGACAATAGTTTGCAAAGATATTCGGTATTACGTCAACAACATTTCCCAACAAATTTTGCTTGACTTGACCAAAATTAAAAGTGCTTTTGTATAATAAAAGTACATGCATAAATGAAATAGAACATTCCTGCCTCAAAGATGAGAACGATGTGGAACTATTGCTGTCGTGATATTGATTTCAAAAATTTAGTGAGATATAAATTTAGTTTAGATAGTGATTTTTCAAAAATTATAGCGTACTAACTGCTCCAATTTATATGATAAAATTACGTGCGAAAATATAGTGTAACATTGGTCAGTGCGAAATGTAAATGATATCTCAAATTTTTTTGCTACCGTTTAATTACCGTTGCTAATTATATTGGAAACTCAAATAATAGGTGACGTGTTTTTCAAAAAATTATTCGCAAACTACGCTTGCGTCTACAACACTCTTCTCTAAAAACTCTTTGATGCACAAGCGGTTTGAAGAATTTATCAGAAAAGTATCAAAAGCCTATTTTGAAGGGAATGCGAATATCGGCAATGTGGCATTCACACTTACGTAACGTCTATGTGTAAAAAAATTGAAATGACAACATAGCACACACACTTGCATAATATCTGTGAAAAAATGATAGCGGTATCATGTTAACGCCTATTTGATAATCGTCTTTATTTCATAACTATCTATGTATACATAAATTCGATATCGTCGGTAAATGATAATAACTTTTTCTACTTTTTGATGATCACTCTACGTTATCGACGCTTATCAAGTTCGTCACTCCGGTATCCCTTTAAGAACAATAAAGATTGCGACTAACCCCTTGTCCTCAATCTTGTTTTAATCTTTAAGCCGTAATAAATTGACCAACCACAATCGATTATTTTAAAAATAATCAACTGTGGTTGGTCAATTTCTTACAGCTTGAGAATTAAAGCAAGATTGTGAACAAGTGGTAAGCGCCCATAGACCTTTTGTCAGATTTAATAATGACTCTCAATAATGATAATTTCTATTTAATTGCATACAATTAAAGCTCATGTCGAATCAATTTCAAAAATATATATCTCTCTAATTTGCGCCTTTTGTTGTTCTGTATTGATGGTTTCCGCGATTCAAACCTGCTATGTGTTGTCTGATAATTAATTATCGTTAATCACTAATTAGTTAACATTTCCTTGACAAGTTCTACATCATTATTGTTTGGCGGTAAACGATAAATATGCGGCGCATGTCATGCGTAGTTGAATTAACTATCACCGCTAACTAATACTTGTCTTTGTTTGCATATTTTGTTAGCATGACGCCATTTGTTAAAATTGTGACTCCATTTTCTTCGAGAGTAGGAGTTCTTCAGGTTGGAGAAAGCTTATATATTTATAATCAACTTGACGTGAGTTTTAATTAATGTATGCAAAAATAATTATCATAATCGAAAGTCTTAAAAAATCAAGCGAAACTTGGTTACCCACTTATCAATGTTTGGTATTTTAGGGTTAAATGATGTAATTTTAAACGTGTAAAAAGAAACATGTAAAAAGATTCAACGAAAAGAACACACTTCAGTTTGCAGTGTACTTTGGTATATATCAATCATCTCAATGTATTTGCGCGTAATCTGGTTGTGGCAACCAGAAATCGGCTAGCGTGACATTTATCACGGATATACATTCCGGTTGGAGCAAGCAGATATCGTCACTGTGCCTCGGTAATTGCTTTATGGTTTTGCAGCGACCACGTAATTAGTTGTATTTTACTATTAAATCTAGTTAATGCAACTAGATTTATGCATGGGCCGATTGTACCGTCTTTTTCTTCCGTGCGTGAATCAGTCGCGTATATTTGTGACCGCACGCACGCGTTTTCGATCACGAAGCACTTAATCGGTTAAGAACTCAACGAGTTTCGATGAGCGGGCACGCACCCATCCGTACCGTGAGAACGGACTATTTGCATGCAACGCGGAACATACCCCAGAATGGATTAGCTGTTGATAATCGATCATGCACGGACATTGCTAATGTAACGAGTTTCGCCGGGCGGTAATTTCGAGCGTACGCTCGCACTCACTCCCACGATCGATTCCAGCTGAAAGCGTAAAGGCAAATTTCATCATGGAAACGCTGTTATAATATTAATCTAGCTTTCGACTCGTCCGTCGGCGTTAGCCCCGCACGCGGCTCGGTTTTGACGCGGCTCGTCGATCCGAGCGGGATTGTTTTCGCATCTTCTAATTAAAGCAATTAAAAGATCAGTCGCGCAGCTATAATTGTCGCGCCAATTACGGACGAGAGCACGCCATTCGGTGAGCTCCGCGCCGGCGCCGTCGCATCGCGTGTGCGCCAACGCAGAATTTGAAGTTAACAGCCGGGCAAAATTAACACGCGCGTCGCTGATGATACTTTATTAGCAAACATAAACTATTATTACAATTCGCCTATGTATGATGAATTCACGGGCCACAAAGTGACCGTTAATCGCCCGCAGCATAGCGGAAACAGCGCGTACACATCGTTCTCATTTTTGGAGATAAATCAAAATATCTGTCGCGCTACGCGCATCCACACACACATACACACACATATGCACACATGCATACACGTGTGTCTATCGAAGCGTGTATGTAATCTTTTCGATAGCTTTAATAATAACATATTTTTGCTCGCGATAAAACGTTTATATATTCGCAATAATTGTACACATTCGCGAATAAAAGGACAAAAATGACATCAAACACTCCGCTCGAATGAATCGTGTTAAATATCAATGGGGGTATTAAAATTATTTTCTGCAGCGATGAAATTAATAATGATCCCCCTCGTCGTCATCCTCTCCTTTGTCGTCAGAACTGTAAGAGCTGTGCATCTCGTAAGATCCCTCGTCGCCACCTCCGGAGGAATAATGTTCGTTATGGTCGTAACTCGTAGATTCCGGTTGCTTCTCCGTGTAGTGACTGCTATAGTGATCACCACCGTCGTCACTTCCGGTATAATGCGAGTACTCGCCATCCCCGCCGCCGGCATAGTCGGTATCGACCATAGTACCTATAAAAGTTTTCATGCCGTATTAAACGCAATTTACTAAGAACAGTTTCGCTGCACCCGCGTTAAATTCGAACGAGGCGAGCGTTTCGCTGCATTATGGACTCTCATGGGAGTTTCTGCGACTTCGGCTCGCGCTCCCCCTCGGAAATGCGCGGAAAGTCGCGGAGATGATTTCTATCGTTGAATCGAAAAAAAGAAATCGGTTTCTCCGCACTTAGTAAATTTTAATAAAGCATAAAAGCCTTAACATTTACTGCACTGAAGCTCGTTACATTTTCTAATCGTCCGCAACGTGTCCGGGTACACGAATATATCATTATAGCTGTTGATTATTCGGCTGATCTGTCATTTTGACAGCGTAATGCATCATATCGTATCATATTAAATCTAGACGAAAATGATGAGCAAACAACAATTTTTTCTAATCGTTTGAAAAACTAAATGAACGATTAGATTAATGGTCATTTCTACCAACGCCGATTAAATTAATTTGAGTTTGTACTCTATTCAGATAAAGACTTAAATTCGGGTTAAAGTTCAATCGACGTTGGTCGAAGTGTACACATGACTCTTATTTTGAACTCTTTTTTATTGATAAATGCCTTTGAATGTAATTATATGTTTTCTGATTGGCTTTCAGTTTAGAAGCACTTTCGACTAAAAAGAGTTCAGAATAAGAACCTAAGTGACTTTTCGCTCAACATTAAGTACCGATTTTTCAATAGTAGTTTAAGTTTTGATTTAAGTTGAAACTCTGTTTTAACAATGTGTTTAATATGTTAGAACAGAATTTAAACTTTAATCTTCTCTCTCTCAAATTTAATCTACTATTAAAAAACCAACTTTAAATGAGTTTTCACTTAGTGAACATTAAAGTTTTGTTAAAGCCTTGTTTACGTTCAGCGCGGGAAATCAATGCTAATTACAGTGACGATCATATCATTTTCGATTAAGACTTTCTTTTGTTTGCTCACGTTGACCATGTCGCATTAAAGGAATGCTACAATCAAAATCTTTACCGACAAAATACTGATTTTTCTCTACAAAATTTACGTATTATATAATGGCTGTGCATAGTTACAAATGTTCTTACGTAGTAAAAATATGTGGGAGAATAAATTGGAGTATTGCTCAATATATGAAAAAACGACAAGAAATTTCAAAGTTGACATTTCGAGCAAATCAGCACATCCTGTCAAAGTAATTATTCGTCTGATACAAAAGATCTTGTATGTACTAAACGCGAGTTTGCTCCGTTCAGAAAATTTTTAAACATTGTTATATCTTATTTAATATTTTAGGCTTTCGCGGTGTCCATGCATATTAGATTTGGTTTCCGGGTTTAAGCCACGTGGATTTTTCTTTGTTTGATTCCGACGAATTGTTGTATCTTTACATCCAAATTTAGAAGCTTGAAAATGCCGGAGAAGTTTGCAGGAAGATTTCTATATGAGTATTTTTTGCGTTAAGTAAAACAAAACACATATTTACATAAGATTTATGCAAGGTCCGGTTATTGACGACGAAACCGCGGCGTACAACTAGAACACATCTATCTGAACTAAAAAGTACTCTACTTTTTTTCAAACAACCACGTATAATTTTATTTAACTATTTTTTTTTAACTATTAATGAAAGAAGACTAGTAAATAATCACGCGCGATATCGTAGATGAACTGTGATGACGACATCTGTTGTCGTGTGTTTGGTTAAATTGAATGAAAAAGTTCTTTACCATTTTGTAAATAACTACATAGATGTTTAGCTATTAATCCTTTGGCATAGTGATATACTTATATGCCATCTTTCCTTACACAGTTTTTTACGATTTTCACATATTTCTCAATAGTGATATACTCATATGCCATCTTTTCTTACATAGTTTTTCCTTACACGATTTTCACATATTTCTCAATAAGCTAAAATTACTTTAATCACACATTTAAGTTCCTGGTACATCAAATACTATATAACAACCATTAAAGTCACTTTGACTCATTGAAAAATATGTAAAAATCGTAAAAAACTGTGTAAAGAAAGGTGACATATGAGTATTTGTCATTATAAAAAGAAATAGTTAAAAAAGATTTATGTATAACATATGTATAATCATTCACCAATTTTCTTTGATTAATAACTCAAAATTTTACCTGGCAATTTGAAAAATGATAGAGAACTTTTTGGTTTAGATTGATATGTTTTATTGCGGCTCTGTCGTCAGTTACCGCATACCCTGTACATACAAGAAATATGAAAAGGATAGTGTGATTGAGTTAGTGACGATCCACGTCTTCACGTTATCGACATTTTTTGAGTTCGTTATTGACTTCAGTATCCCTTTATGGGGATCATCTTATAGAGAGTGTCATACTCGAAAACTTTACCTACAAAAAACTGACTTCTTTCTGCAAAATTTGCGTCGTATTGGTTGCACAGAATTACAATATGCTTTTACACACTGAAAATATGTACAATAATGAATTTGAGCGTCGCTCAATATGTGATAAAGACAACAAGAAATTTAAAAATTAATATTTCGAGCTGCCAGTTGATGTAATATTTACTTCATACATAATTGCTGTAGTTTGTACGTATCTCGTATGTGTTTGCTCGCGGGTATTTGCTCCGCTAACGAACATTTCCGTAGGAATATTTCCGTACCCTTACAATTGAATATAGAAGCTCAAAAGTAAACGAAAAATTTTCAGAAAGGTTTCTATATAAACGTGGTAAAACAAAGCAACACGTATTGACATAATGTCTATTTTTACAAAAGAAATACGAAAATGATAGCGTAATTGTGTTAATGACGATGATCTTTGCGTTATCGGTATTTTTGGAATTCACTATCGACTCCAGCATCCCCTTAATGTCCGATATTGTTGATTATAGTCGAAATTTAACGATGTTTCACCTGCGCCCTCGTGGTCATGATCTTTCTTCTCTTTACGCTTCTCGCTGTTATCGTCAACCAGATCCTTGCCATAGGAGGTTTGCGTCTCAAACTCGTACTCGTCGCCGTCCTGTTTGTGGAAGGTGTCGAGAGTCTTGTAGCCTTGATCACCTTTGCCGTAGGTTTCCTTCAAGTAACCCTTCTCGCCCTCCGCATCGCTCCCGTAGGTTCTGTAGTAACCACCCTCGTCTGATTTGCCTAAAACCGCATTGTTGTCCGCCCTTGTTACGCTCGACAAGACGTCTAACCCGTTTACAAAATACTGCGCTCGGCAATAAACGTTAATTTGACATTTTGGACGAGACAGGGCGACGAAATGCAAATTTTTTGGCAATTTTCTCATTCCAATTTGGCGTTAATTCTCTCGCAACCATTTATCTCTTACACGAATGCGCGTGAAAGTAATTTTTCCGAGTCGACTCTCCTCTCTACGTCGTGACCTATTCTACTAAAAGCACTAATTATGAAGCACGTACCAGATACGTTTTTCACGCGTTTTTTATTGTCTCGTGACTTCGGTGCGTTACTAGCACTCATTAGATCCTCCACTTCCGCGGCGACTTTCAGCGGCGCCAATTGGCGCACCTCGCGGATGTACGAACCGACGACGGCGACATCGTCCTCGGCAGCGTCCTCGTAAACAATAGGCCCGGCCAGAGTGCCACAAACGAGCAGATACGAAAGTAACGAACAGAGCAGAAATACCGAATGCATCTCGCGCGATTAGATAGATCAATCTCGTCGATTTTCGATGGATTTCCTGTCTTTGATCCGCTTAGCCGGTTCTTTTATACAGCTCCCACTTTCCTCGAGCCGAATAATTTCCATTCGACAAGGAACGCGCATTTATATTCGTACTCGCAGCCGTATTTCGTGCTTCGCAAGTTACTGTGGCTAATCGCTCAAATGAGTAATTTAGATCGCCGCTCCGCTGCATTTCGTAATTAAAGGTCTTCTACGGTGGAAGAAATTCCTTTTCCTCTCCCGTTGCTGAAGGAAAGAAGTTGCGACGACGACACCTGTCTCGCCGAGAGCAATCAGTTTGTCGAACGTTGCTTTACCTTGTGAGAAATAGTGACAGGGGTCGCGTGTTATTCAATCGTCGGCTTGCGTAAAGGCGCGACTCTTTTCGTCATCGAGGAAGTCGCGGATTCCGCGGGTCGGACTTGCGTCGACGATGTCAGGCGGTCGATTGCACGTCGCACTGTCGCGAACTATCGATCAGACGGCGCCGATATTAATTGTGCCGTGCGTACCGCACGAGTGATCTCGCGCTTTCCACGATCGCCGCAACAAAAAGTCGTGGAACCGAGTTACCGAAGATAGCTGATAGAAGCTGAGGCTTGACATAACGGCCTGCAGTGCGTTGCCCTCTGAAGACATTACGACTGCGTTTATGACCGCGCTGCAAAAGTCTATTCGAAATTGTTGAAAGTGTTACAGGCAGTACCCAGAAATTTTCATCGATAATAATAGATTGGAGCATTACTTAATACATGTGACGAAAATGATGTAAAAGATTAAAATTGACATCTCGAGCTATGAGTTAATATAAATATTAAATTGATACAAAAGTTTTGCAGCTTGTGCGCACTGCACGTGTATTTGCTCCGCTAACGAAAATTTCAAAGAGTATATCTTCACAATAAAATGTAGAAGCTCAAAAATACACGAAAAGTTTGTAGAAAGATTTCTGTATATACATATATGCGTGGTTGTTTCCCGCCGTAGTAAAACAAAACACATTTATATAAGATCCATATGTACAATCAACGTCGCGCGCACGGGAAGGTTGTTCAATTTTATTTTACTTTATTTTTTTATTTTATTTTCAGGATGCATCCGTCTTGTCCAATAAGAAAATTCTCTTATTGACAAACTTCTATTGGACAACACGTATGCGTCACGAAAATTACAAAAACAAAACGAACAACTTTTCTGACGCCGATTGTATATACAAGAAATACGAAAAGAATGATTGAAATAAAATATATGAGCGGGCGAAGTAAAGTTGGCCTAAATATAATTTAAGGCCGGCAATAGAGCTGTGGAGACTTCTCGCGGAGACTCTGGAACTATTAAAAAAATCAGGATATATAATTTATATATATCTTTCTTTTTTCAGCCTGCGCTACTAGACAACTGAAAGATGGCTGCATGTTCGTATTTTGTTTATTATAAAACAGAATATACAGTTAATAGGGTTGTAGCGGGCATTAATTAATAGAAGAAAATCGCCTCTATCTTGTTTATACAGTCAGTCACAATAATTAGTTGTCTGAGAAGTTGATCATGACGATCGCTTCTACGTTATCGACATTTTTGAATTCGTCATCCATTTCAACATTTCGTTAAGTAAGATTTTAGTTTCTATGTGTAGGAGAGACCGGGATTATATTTTAGAATATCGAAGTTACAACTTCTTAGACAACTAATTGTTGTGAATGACTGTATAAACAAGATAGAGACGATTTTCTTCTATTAATTAATGCCCACTACAACCCTATTAACCATATCTTCTGATTTATAATAACCAAAATACGAACATGCAGCAACATAGCCATCTTTCAGTTGTCTAGTAGCGCTGGCTGAAAAAAAGAAAGATATATATAAATCCTGATTTTTTTAAATAGTTTCGGAGTCTCTGCGAGAAGTCTCCACAGCTCTATTGCCGGCTTTAAATTATATATAGGCCAACTTTACTTCACCCGCTCATATATTTTACTTCAATCATTTTATGAATGAAAAGTGCATTTATTACCAGAAATAATATACCATATACTTGCAAAAAATTTCATTCTAGCTAGTAGCACATTGCTTAATTTTACTCAGTCACGATGGAAAATATTAATAGAAAATTTCAAGAAGCTCGAAAATTTATTTTGCTCTTACTAAATCAATTTTTATTTTCTATTTCTTAACTGTAATATTATTACGATTTTAATAAAACTCAGGGAAAAGTATTTATGTTTTAAAAGGACCATTTCCCGATTTTGTGTATCCACTATTTCTCTCAAGATAAACAAAAGCATATGAAAAAAAGTACATAAGCAACATACCTTTGGGGCCATATAGCCAGTCTCCGATATAGGTAAACATACAGATATTGATCCTTAAGAATATATAGATGTTAGAAAGTTCATGTGGAAAGCGACGCAGAAATTTCGACTCGGATAGGATCTTATTCGCGCGCACTGCACTCACATTCGATTTCGCTAGCAAATAGAGAATTTTCCGTGCTGCGAATTAACTCCAGCGCGAACGAGAGAGAGAGAGAGAGAGAGAGAGAGAGAGAGAGAGAAGCGGCATTTAGGGTCTTTTGAAAAAAAGGACGCAATGGAGAGACGAGTAACCGTGAGCCGTGGGCGCGTTGAATTCGCTTCGACGCGCGGGACAGCGGCGAAGGATTAAATCCGCCTGTATATTCGATGTGGGGAGCGCGACGGGAGGACGCATCTGTAATTTAATTGGTTTCAACTTTGCACGTATATTCCTGTGTTTTAATACGTGCCTTATTTAACATAACAACGTAAAATATAACGCGGGCGAGCAATTAGTTTGGAATCGTTATCACCACGCGGCATTATACGTGTATTAATAATTGCGTACGCGCGTAATAATAATTATTAGTCGGTCGCGCCGGACGGTTTACACGGGCAAGCAGCAAAATCATTTGCACATGCGAGACGCATCGCGGTAACCGAATTGCTCGATATTCGCGCCGCGATAAGATAAACGTCAAGTTTCGCCAGAATCGTAGCGGCCTAAGAGAAAATCCCTGTAATCGCACCAACTGCGTCGTACTTCTCGCGTTTAACCGCATGATCCATGGTATGTTTATTCTTGAGTGTGTTCTACACAAATAGCTCAGTCATAAAAGTTCGCAAACACGCGAATGATTACAATCGCTTTCTTCACTCGCGACACGTTACTTCACGATCGTCGCAATGTTCCACTTTGATGACTGTTACACAGAAATGGTCTGTCGTAAGAAGGTTTCAGTTTTTACGGAGTACACAAGAAGAAAGATCAACGCGCGCGATAGAAAAATGTTCCGCCGCGGTTACATCAATTTGAAACGTCGCCTTTAGACTCGTAATAGTTTGTCGCAATGTCTTAAGTCATGGACCGTTCCGTTCGATAAAAAAGGGCAAAGGAAAATCTCATTCGTCGTATTCCTGCGGCGAAAACAGCATAAGACAAAAGTGTCTCAATGCCTGGACTCGCACCTAATTTGAACATTATTATTTATTATTTCATTCTTGAAACACGAATATTGAAACTTTTAACGTAAAATGTATATACGTATATTGAAAATGCACATATGTTTCATGTGAAAATTTAAATATTCATATTTAAAGGATATATTTAAGTCTTTAATACGGAATATAGATATACGTATCTTGAAAGTATACGTGTATTCCATATTGGCAGTTTAAATACATTCATATTTAAGGATGAAAATAAGAGATGTTCAGATAAATAAGAATGTTCAGAGTTTGGTAAACGTCCAGGTATTGGCACTTTTACCTTAAGCCTCGTCACAATTGCATAACAATTAATTTCGCAAAATGTGAAAAGTTATTGGCTCAAGCGTCCCTTCACGGTGGAAGTGGGAAATCTTTCCCGTAGCGTATCTCTGTGTAAAAATGTTAAAATTTATTTCCCACTTAACCGCGACAATACCGCGTGCAAATCACTGCAATTAAAACTCGACCTACCGTAGCGAGAACAAATTGCACGTTCGAACCGATTACACAATTATCAAAAACTCCGAATGTATTTCTCGTAATTATGCGCTAATGGCGTCATATCTTCTCTCTCCCTCTCTCTCTCTCTCTCTTTCTAATTGATATTCCCGATAAAGATATGTTAGTCGCAATGATAATAATAATAATCATAATAGTAGCGACGCTATATATCGAAACTAAGTGGAAACTAAAATTTCGCCGTAAATTATACGATACATATTACGTTCCCCGTTTTATCCCGTCCACGTTAACGAAAACGGATATCTAACGAGCTAGGTAACCGATCATTAATGCCGACGGGCGCCGTTCGTCAGGCTGTCGGACGCAAGAAGCCACTAAATCTCGAACTTCATTCCCGCCGTCCACTTGAACCAGGCGACGCCCAAGGATGATCGTCACTTAAAACCACGCGCGACCCGGCGCCGACGACGTTAAGCGTCTTAGATAGTTGCCGTGCCAGGCAGTTTCCCCGGGCATGATCCGGTAATTTGAAAATCTCGGATGGAATGTAACACCTCGTAGTAGCTGCCGTCTTGGATATACTAAGATTCTCGTTTTACCAAACTCCTGTGTTGCTACGTCGTACCATCGCACCGGTCGCCCCGGGCTCGGCCAATCCGCACTTCTCACCAGCCGCAAACCTGTCGGCAAAGTAAAGCTGCGCCGGCTCGGGGAACGTCGGAACGAGAGGAGAGAACGGGGGATGGGTATGCATCGCGTCAAGGGTTGCATCCTGATTAGGGTAAAAGTAGGAGGTCTGAGTAGTCTATCTCGTTGGTATGCGAGACTCGGCGATTCTGCAATCTACTCAGTATCCTCTTTATATAAATATGTCGCATTATGCATGAGTGAATGCAAGATCCCGCCAGGGAGTCGGTAAAATTCAACTTTCCTGATATTACAATTTCTAAGTAAGTGTTTAATAATTAACGATTCCATACCCCGTAATTATCATTTCGCTCTGTATATTTCGCTGAGTCATATCTGTGCATTCTCGACACCCAGAAGGAACAGTTGCAGACGTTAAAACGATGATACATTGCACATTATCAAGCACTCTATTCTGAAAAAGTAATCTGCGTTAAGAGATATTTTCGTAGTACGCAGGAGATACAGAGAGTGTGTAAACGTTTACAGCGCTCGCTGCGAATAGCGAGAGACACTTCAGCGTGGCTCTTCCGCGGCAAATAGATACAACCAGCACGCTCAGACACCCACAAACGGTAATGCAGTATCGCGCAGGCGCTGCTAAGTCATTGAGTGCTGGTATGAACATTTTTGTTCGTACTCCACGTACCTGTGAAGCTCCAAATATCG